GATATTTGCTGATTTTGGATGACATTGTGCTGATTGTATCAAGTACTGGACCATGGAAACTCTTTTCCTGGAACAGAGGTATAATCATTCAGAAGAGTTTGGCTGGACCATCCACAGAGGAAAAACCAAGTGGATAAAGACTATTGCCAAGATTATGACATACTATTGGATGAACAACCTATAAAGTTTATTTGGTAGTATGTATATCAGTCCATCAATAAACATTTATTAAATGCCTATTATGTGCCAGGCACTGTGCTAAACACTGGGGATACAAAGAATGATAAAAGACAATCTCTGCCCTCAAGGAGCTCACAGTCAAATGAGGAAGACAACATGCAAACCACCATGTACAGTCAGGCTATATGAAAGATGAATTGGAAAAATCAAAAGAGAGAAGACACTAGAATTAATAGAAATTGATAATTAGGGAAGAATTAAAGGGGAACTCTAGAATGTGGGATTTTAGCTGGGACTTGAAGGTAGAAGAAGACTAGAAAGGTTGGGGGAGGGCAGAGGATTTGATATGTCATCTTGGAGGTGATAGGGAGCCAGTGGGGTTTATTGAGTAGGGAGGGTGACATGGTCAGACCTGTGCTTTATGAAAAATCATTTTGTGATAAATGTTGGAGAAGATGTGGGAAAATTGGAACACTAATGCATTGCTGGTGGAATTGTGAACTGATCCAGCCATTTTGGAAAGCAATTTGGAACTATACCCAATGGGCTTTAAAATGTGCATACCCTTTGACACAGCAATACCACTTCTAAGGTTGTATCCCAAAGAGATCATAAAAATGGGAAAAGCACCCACATGTACAAGAATATTTATAGCAGCTCTTTCTGTGGTGGCAAAGAATTGAAAATTTAAGAGATGCCAATCAATTGAGGAATGGCTGAACAAGTTGTGGTATATGAATGTAATGGAATGTGCTATAAGAAATGATGAGCAGGCTGACTTCAGAAAAACCTGGAAAGACTTGTATGGACTGATGCCGAATGAAGTGAGCAGAACCAGGAGAACATTGTACACATTAACAGCCACATTGTGTGATGACTAACTTTGATAGACTTAGCTCTTCTCAGCAATGCAAGGATCTAAGACATCTCCAAAAGTCTCATGATGGAAAATTCTATCCATATCCAGAGAAAGAACTATGAAGTTTGAATGCAGATCAAAGCATACTATTTGCTCTCTTTTATTTTCTGTTTGTTTTTTTAAAAATTTCTTTCTTATGATTCCTCCTATTGGTTTTAACTCTTCTTTACAACATGACTAATGTGAAAATGTGTTTAATAGGAATGTATATATAGAACCTATATCAGATTGCATGCCTTCTTGGGGAGGAGAGGAGAAATTTTAAAACTCAAAAGCTTATGGGAGTAATTGTTGAAAACTAAAAATAAATTAATTAATAAAAAAATTTTTAAAGGAAATAATTTTGATAGCTGAGGACAGAATAGACTGAAGTGGAAGTTCAAGCAGAAAAGCATGCAGGAAGAAGATAAGCATTAATTATGCACCTACTATGTAAGGCATACTTACTAAGCACTTAACAGATATCTCATTTGATTTTCACAACAATTTTGGGAAGTAGGTGTTATTATTATCCCCATTTTACAACTGAAGAAATTGAGGTAGGCAGAGGTTAAGTCACTTGTTCAAGATCACACTGCTAGTAGATGTCTGAAGCTGAATTTGAACTCGATTCTTTCTGACTCCAGGCCTGGTGTTTTATCTGCTGAATTACCCAGCTGGCAGGGAGATCAACCAGCAGGCTATTTCAGTAGTCCAGGTATGAAGTGATGAGGGCTAGTAGCAGGGTGCTGGCAGTGTTGAAGGAGAAATGCTTTGTTCCCCAACACATATGAAGGCTGGCAGTGTGATATCTGGGACTGACAGCAATCCCAAAGTTAGGCTTGTTTTTTTAGTCAACCTTAAGCATCAAAACCTAAGAATTAATATTGTTGCTTTTATTTATATGGAATAATGAATGCTTATGTTTTTGACTGAACACCCAAGCTTAATTTCTAGGTGCTCTCAGTGCTCCTAATTGACACTGAGTGACTACTATTGAATGCTTTCTGGTACCTTAATAGAGCTGTGTAGGAGCTCAGCTATTGCATGTGATCTTGCTTTCATTGAACATGTGTGATTTATATTTAGGCACGTGACCTTTTGGGAAGTGAACACTGATTTTGTACAGTTTACACACTGGCTATTTTATTGACTGTTGTCTTTTTAACTATTTTTAAAAAGCAATTAATAACATCTTTTTGTTCTTTGACCAAGTCAGGAATGAAGTAGCCCCAAATATGGTGTGATGTGTGTGTGTGGGTGTCACGTATAAGTTTCTGGGTTTAGTAATGGTATAAAAATTAATAGTTTGGTAATTATATGCCTAGAAACCCTGTTCTAAGAGCTTCTCTTCCATTGCTGCTTTCCCTAATCATGCTACAAAGAGAATAGGCCTAGGCGTCGTTTAGCAGATAAAGTGTAGAACAGAGCATTCTGTAGAATAAGGGTCCTGTCTCCATCCTAGCTGGATTAAGGCTACAGCCCTGATTCCTGTGACACCTCCCCTCCAGCTGCTGGGTAGATCACTCATGTATTATGATTAGTTATTCTCCATTTGGCATTTAAAGCTCTTCCCAACCTGCCCCTTCCTAGCTTTCCAGTCTTCTTACCCATTACTCTCCTCTGTGCACCCAAATTCCAGCCATATTGCCATCCTTGCTGTTCCTTCCACAAAACACTTGTTATCTCATTTCCCTGCCTTTCCCTGAGTCTGGGATGTTTTCCCCTCTCACTTTTACCTCTTAGTTTCGTTCAGAGCTCAGCTCATCTTCTACATGTAGCCTTTCCTGATCCCCATAGCTGCTAGTGCCCTCCTTCCTCAAACTGCCCCGCATTCATTTTATACATATTCTCCATGTACTTCTCTGTATGTCTGTGTTGCCTTCTCTGTGAGAATATAAGCTCTTTGGAAGCAAGGACTTTTTCACTTTTGTTTTTATATCCCTAAATGCTTAAGGTAGTGTCTGGCGTGTAGCAGGTGCTTAATAAATACTTGCTTGATTTGGGGCAGCTAGGTGGTGCAGTGGATAGAGCTTCAGCCTTGGAGTCAAAGGACCTGAGTTGAAATCCAGCCTCAGACTTTACACTAGCTGTGTGACCTTGGGCAAGTGACTTAACCCCGATTGCCTCACCAAAAAAAAAAATACTTGCTTAATTGAATGATATGCCAGTCTGTTCCTTGGCATACTTGATTGAAAATATCTTAAGTCAGGGGTTATTAGGGCCTGTGAACTTTTAAAAGGATATTTTTATACCTATTTTACCATATGTAGTATAATATATATTTGGATTTCTTTATCTATATTCCTTAGTTTGGTTACTATGGATTTAAAAACATTATTATTCATTTGGCTGCAGAGGCATTAAAAAAAGAATTAGTGGTCCTCATTTTCTTTGGCTGCACATTCTTGATTTGATTCCTTTGCTGATGAGCATCTAATGAGAAACAGTGTGATAATGGGAGAGACCTTGGGACTTCTCCAAAATGAGGCTATATGTGCTTCTGTGAAAATGGGCCTTGGTCCTGGTGCTTTGCCTTTTGTGATTTTCCATTTTTGAAAAGGGTTTGTAGACTCTAATCTTCTGAGTTTCAAACAGTCAGGAGAACAAGCTTCCAGACTTCCTGGTACCCCAGCATCCTGACTTTGCAGCCAGTTCAGCATCAGTGCCCAGAGAAGCTGAGTGACCTTCAGAAGAGATCTTTGAGACCTAGCCCATGAACTGATGAGAGGAGGACTCATCCAGTAGCCATGCCAGATATGGACTTGATGGGATAGTTGTTATATAGGAATTGAACATCCTCTGGGCATTCCAGTGATTCTGAAATACTGTTAGGTCGTTATCCAAACCCCATTCCCTATCCTCCACTACTCAGTTGCTTATTTCCATCCTCCCAACCCTCCTACCCCAAACCAAATGCTACCCATCCCTTCCACTATGCCCTTGGAATGTCTATTCCATAAGCAACAAACTTCTCTTTATCCTGAATCTTTCCTCTCTCACTCCTTACTTGCTGCATTGGTTTTGTTCATGCAAAAGCTATTCAGATTCATGTAATCAAAATTATTTGTTTTATCTTTATGAACTCCTCTATCCTTAATTGGATTAAGAATTCTCTTTCTAGCCATGGTTATAAGTACTTTTTTCCATTTCCTTCTATAAACTTGTATTTTTATGGTGAATGCACATTTGAAACTTAGTGTTATGTATCATATAAGATGCTTGTCTAAACCTATTTTTTGGTAATTTCTGTCAGTTCTCAAACAGGGAGCCCTTTCCTAAATATTTTGTTCTTGGTTTCATTGACTACTGAGCTATTAAGTTCACTTATTTCTGATAATTTATCTAGTTTGTTCTACATATCTACTTTAATGTTATTTAATTTGTCCCAAATAGCTTTGATAGTTACTGCTTTATAATATAGGATGAGGGCTAGAAGTTCTATTCCCATTTAATTCCTATTTTTTTAAATAAAGGCTTTCTAAAGAAGATGGTTTTCTTCTCTGCAAATAGCTATGGTTTTGTTTCATTTTGCCAGTGCTTATGTTTTAATTTGTTTTCAACTTGGCCTATTACTATAGCTAATATTTCTAGGAATAAGTCAAATAATATTTTATTTTATAAATAGCAAAGCAAAGGCATTGTTGTCTATCCTGTATTAATGGGAAACGTTCCCACTGTTTTTCCATTGCCAAGTAATGCTAACCTGGGCATTTAGATAAATATTTTTAGATTGTAAAGTCTTTTTGTTTTGGGAGGTTTTATCATAATAGAATAGCTGTGATGATAATTTTAGCATAAGTGAATACTATATTTTTCAAAGATTTTTCTGAACTTATTAATATAATCATGTGTTTAGTTGTTTTTGTTTTAAATATAATTCATTTTAAAGCATAATAATATTTTGCTCTTTTTTTTTTAGGGTGTTGGTATCTCAATTCATGGGCATTTCCGAGTGGCTACAGAGAAAACGGTTTTTGCTATGCCCGAAACAGCAATAGGTAGGAATTATTCTCAGTTTTGACTTCTGGTATTGTCTTCTCTTGATGTGTTTCAAATTACATGAACATTGTTGAATTAATTGATAGGAATCTTATGTGAGAAGAAATGAAAGAAGAGTTGAAAATAAAACCAAATTGAAAATATTTAAATGATTTTCTGTTAGTTCAATATATAATTTGTGCAGACAGTAAAGTAAATCTTAATGGCATTCAGGTACAAATATACTGCTAAAGATCTAAGATAAAAGATTATTAGTAGTAAACATTGTTATGAATTAAAAGGAGAGCATCTTTTCATCGTCTGGCACAGAATTCAGGAACAGGCAGATGAAGAGCGTGGTCCTTGAATTATACAGGATATTTGAAGAACTTGGTCTTCTGGTTGTTCAAATGTGCTGGGTACTAAAGAGTTGCCACATAAACTGACATCAAGTGTCACTATTCAGAGATTTAGAAAACAATACAGTTAGCATAAAATTATGATGAAGTTAATTTGATTTTAGTATAGATCAAATTTACTCCCCAGTCTGTATAGGTTAGTAAAAATGGTGCTAGACTTGAAGTTAGGAGAATTGGGTTTCAGTTGCATCTGATAGCAACCTCAGTTTCCAAATCTGTAAAATGGATACTAACACTTGTGCTACCTACCTTGTGGTGTTGTGAGGAGATCACCTTGTAAACATTAAAGCTATGTTAATCTGAGTCAGTATTATTTTAGGGCTCTGCAATGTCTGCGAGCCATTGTTATGAACATGTAATCAATTGTAGCTATCTGGAAGAACTAATTAATAACTAATTAAATAACTGGTTATTTAAATGTTGCATACATATCCTAGACTTATTATAGTTGGATATATCTTCAAGTATGATATGGATGTTAAAAGAATTATTTATCTAAGTTTACTGAAGACTTATGGCTGTTGGTTCATATAATGCTCGTTCATTTTGGACAAGGTATTTTCACAAGCTCTTTTCACCTTTTGAGATTCTCATATTTGATCTCTGCTATCTAACCAATGTAATAATTTCGTTTGTGAATAACTACTGTTTGATGTAAGATAAGAAAGCTTATTTTACCTTAGTTTGCTGTTAAAAAAATCAATATAAATATCAGATTTTGTTACTGTTCGGAGCAATCAATATCCAACAACCTGATAGAGTCAGAGATTTTTAAGTCAGTTCGTATTTATTTATGTACACTTAAAACTGTCATTCAGAGGTAGCCTCAAATCATTTGAGTGCTTACAGATTAAGGGTTTTAAATTCTAAACGGGAGTTGGAGGTCTTATTCTAGAGGCACGTGAGAGCCACTGCAGTTTCTTGAGCAGGAGAGTGACAGGGTTAGTCAGATGCTTACTGTGACTACCCTGAATGAGAATATGGTGATGGTTCTATAAAGCTAATGAGCCCTGATTTCATTCAGCATATAACTAAACACCATAAAACAAGTGCTTACAATGATCGCTATCATAATTTGTAAGTGGATTGTCTTCATTTATTACTGGGCAATGGCCAAGAGATTTTTTTTAGATTATAATTGAGTTATGGAAAATGTGAAGTATAAATACTTGGTTAAATATAAATTAGAAGGCTACACTTAACCATTTTAACACCAATCTGTAAATAATATATAAAAATTAATGAGGAATTTCAGAATTTTTAAAACATTTATATAACACTCTTAAGGTTTAAAAAGTTTTACATACATTATCTCATTTGATCCTTGTAATATCTCCAGGGGGTAGATGCTATTTTACTGAGTCGAAGGTTAAATGACTTGCCTTGGATTTGAAATCAGGTGTTCTTTACTTCTGGTATTCTATCCACTGTTGATGTACAAACTTAATTTTTGAATTTTCATATTCATTCATTCATTGAACATGTATTCAATGGGCACCTATTGGCTGCCAAGCATTATGCTAGGTGCTGGGATACAAATACAAAAGGGGGGAGTCCCTGCCCTCAAGTAATTTACATTCTATTGAGAGTAAACAACATGAACAGTGGAAAGTCAATGCAAAATATATACAAATACAATATATACAAAGTATATGGAAAGTTATTTCAGTGGGAGATTTTAAGAGGCAGAATTGAGAAAGGAGTGCTTAGTGGAGGACAGCTTGGGCAAAGGTACAAAGGTAAGAAACTCAATGTCCTGTACCCAGAATAGCAGGTAGCCTAGTTTGGTTAGATGGGAAAGGTTAGGTGCAGCCAGATTAAGGGCTTTTAGATTCTAAACAGGGGTTGGAGTTCTTATTCTAGAGGCATGTGAGAGCCACCCCAGTGTCTTGAGCAGGAGAGTGACACTATCAGTCAGATGGTTTGGGAATAGACCACAGCCAACAAATTTAGAATTTGGAATTTGTGTGCCTTCTTATTTATTTCATGAAAAATCCTGTATATGTATGTTTTCATGCATGGTAGTTAAATTTAATTTCATATGTTGCATTTGTTCAATCTAATGGGATTTAATTCTATAGCTATCATATACAGATATTTTAATAATTTCCAGTTTAACTCTACTGTGACTTGTACTGATTAAAGTATAATATTTAATCACGTGGATGAGTGCCCCTAATCTGTTTCATTTGAACCAGTCCTGCCACTTTTGATTTTTAAAAATTTTCTTAAATTGCAGGATTTTTCCCTGATGTGGGTGGAGGTTATTTTCTACCACGGCTTCCAGGAAAACTTGGTTACCTCCTTGCACTCACAGGATTCAGATTGAAAGGTATAGATGTACAAAAAGGAGGAATTGCTACACACTTTGTAGACTCTGACAAGGTTAGGAATTTTGTATAATTCCTTTGTTCATTATGAGATAACTTGAAATTAAGAGGTGTGGCTAACCTTAAAAAAGTCGAGTTTGTGAAACTCCAGTCATAGGAACTAAATGAAGCAAAGCATAAATTATTTTGCTCTATGGAAAAATTCTACAGGGTTCTCTAAGAAGTGAGTTACCACAATGATTTAAAACCAGTCAGTTGGTAAACAAACATTTATTAAGCATCTACTATGTGCAGGCACTGCTAAGTCCTTGCCCTCAAGGACCTTAAAATCCAGTGGGGGAAAACAAAAGGGAGGGAGGAAAAAGTACCCAGGCAGCACTCATGGCAGACTCTAGTCCAAGGGATGCAACTGGTAGGAAATGAAGAGATGGCTGGCCTGGGCACCCTATTTAAGTGGAGGCTTTGTGCCACTCTTCAGCCCTGGAATCAAAGCGGCAGAGGTACTGAGGATTCTAACCAGTTGTGAGTACCCAAAGCTGGTGCAGTTTCACAGGGTGATGAGTTTCCTGATGCTCAGGTTTTCTAGAGGCATGATCATGACAGGTTCCAGTCCAAGGAGTGCAGCTAGTGGTGGTGGTGGGGGATGGGAGTTGGGGGGGAAGAAATAGGTTTGATTTGGTTGTTTGTTTTTTTAAATTTGACTCCTGCATAATTTATCTGGAATATATCTTTTGCTTAAAGCCTGGTTGACCTATAATGTTCTCGCTTTTTTTAAGTAACTGGGCTGTTTTCCTCAGACAGAAGACATTTTCTTGTGACCCTTGAGATTATCGCTTTTGATAGCAATGTGTTTCCCATTTAAACTACCACTACCCTCACATATGCAAGATAGGACAGTCACTTATCCACATGTCCTCTTGACAGAGCTAATACAGTTTCTGCTTTTGATGCTGGAGCCAGATGTTATAGTACTTACAGAACAGTTAATTACAACCAGTGACTTTCAGTGATTCATCCCCCTACTCTCCCCACATTGCTAGTATTCTGTGTTTGTTGCTAAGCAGGAGAGGACACTACTGCGAGATTACTGATGGAACTTTCTCTGTATACCTTCTACAGGCATACAAATGTTAGCTTTTATAGGGTCTTGAAACAAATAAAATTGATTCCTCATTTCATACAGGTGCAGTTACAAGTTAAGTCCCATTATAATGGGCTACACAGGACCTTCAAATAGTATTGTTTAAACGTAATTAATTACCTGATGATGCACATGTGACCAGAAATATCATTCTCAATTTAAAGAATTCAGAAGTAAAACAGAACTGGTAGCCAGTCTTTCTGTAGCAAATTGGGAGAAAGTTGTCAGAGTAGAAGGAAAGAGGAAAATGTTTTTCTTTTCAGGTTTCTGAATTGTTTGCTGTTCTGGGTTGAGATTTTTGGCTGTATTTTCTTGGTGGCTTGATTGAGATGTTTAAGATAAGAAAGAATGAGGGAAGTTGAAGGGTAATTGCTTTTTTTTTCCCCAAAAAACAAAAGAACTATGAAGAGCTTTTCCTTTAACTGAGCTCTCAGCTACCCTAATACCCATTATGTATACATTGTACAATTCCACCACTGGATCAGGAATTTCAAAAAACCATTTGTCCTCCTGGGTTATGCCTTTTTAAACAAGATACTTACCATTCAGAGCTATTTTTATTACTTAACACTTCTCTTTGGAATAGGTTTTGTTTTTGCAAGTTTTTACCTGTAGTTTTTTAATGCTTTTCAAGAATTTAAGAATTTTCACTGGTTTTTCCTTTGTTGGTAATTGCATTGATAATTTTCCTCTCCTAGTAATTGGTAAGTTCCTTTAAATTAGAGTATTAAGTGGATTCATATCTCATTTTAAAACTGTTTAGATTTCTCTAGTGAAGTATTTTTGTTCTCTTATTTTAAAAAAAAAAGTTTGTTGAATTGAATATATATTTAAAGGCCACTTATTGAGGCTTGTAGAATGCCTGACCTTTAGAGACAATTTTGTTTGGGATAGAGTAGTTTGAGGATATCTACAGTTACTGCTTTTCAAGAAAATTTCTTTCAGATAATTATAGGAATTGAATTGTTTCCTCACAGCTGATGATTGGTTTGGTTTAAATCAATTGGCAGCTGTGTTATACTCATTGACTATGAAAAGTAACCTATTTAGGATTCCTGAGTCTGGCCTGTCAGATTTAGAAAGCCATACCTATAGAATCATAGAATGTTGGGGTAGAAGGGATTTTATTGGTCAATCAGGGCAGTCCTGTCCTATACTTGAGTAGAATGAGGCCCAAAGTAGTAAAGTGACTTATTCAAGGTCACACTATTACAGCTGATATTATAAAAGTTCTATTTAGGAAAAGAAAAAGTTAAGGGTAATTTTGATATATTCTATAAAGGCCCTGAGCTTTCCTCTTACTTTATTACAAATTTTGATAGCCAATTAAAAGAATTTTCAAATGTCAACCAAGGTTTTATAAAGAGCCTGTTTCAAATATAAAACTATAAAGAGCCATTTGAAATGATTTTTCAAAATGTTCATGGTATATACATTTGCTACATACATATGTATATGCATATACATATAGTATATACAATATATCTCACTTTATACAATAAATATGTACGTAAATTACTACATTTTTTCACGAATTACATTTTATTCTTGATTTTTAAATGACGTTAACATTTCAGAGATAGTTAATCCTAATTTCTTATTTACCATTCTTTATTCCTTAAAACAAGACCTCTATAAAATGCTTCTTAGGAATCTAGATATAATTCTTAACAATAGCTATAAAGGCTGCTTGCTGCTATCTTTATCTTGAGAAAGAGTAAAAAGAAATGGCTTAATAAGATGAGACTGGCTGGGAGACTAGGGGGAAAAGACAAAGGTAGATGATGTAATTTCTCCTTGCTCAGTTCCTCTTTCACTTTCCTGGTGTCCCCCCAAGTAATATTTGTTGTACGGGAATGTGCCTTCCTATGTGGAGGAATAATTAAATCACTGATTCAGTAAGAATAAGTAGCATCATGTCTAACTCAGATTACCTTGGTTTTTTTTCCTTTAAAAGTGGTTTTTAAATTTTACATCTTTTCTGTGAGATTTCAATTTTTCTTTAATTTTACTCTTTAGTTGACTATGCTGGAGAAAGATTTGTTAGCCCTGAAATCTCCTTCAAAGGAAAATGTGGCCGAAGTCTTGGACACTTACCAGATGAAGGTAATCTAATTGATAGTTTTAACTTCAGATTTTAATTAAAGAAATTCTACTAAGATATTACCATATATATGTAATAGTCATTCATATATATATGAATTTTAAGCTGAGAGAGATGCAGGGAGAGAGAGAACACACTGGAGGCCAGCTGTGAGTCTTTGCTTGAGGGCTCAGAGTTCTAGATTGTCTAAGATCTGACTTCCAGTTTCCTCTTAGAGAAGAGATGCCTACTGACAGGCCCCGGGAACATAACAGAATAATATGAAAGAAAGGTTGAACTTGTTCTGCTTAGGTCTCAAGGGTAAAATTGAGAACCATAGGTGGAATCTGCCAGGAGGCAGATTTGAGTTTGGGTTCAGTGTAAAGAAGGGCTTAATAAAAGTATTGTCCAAAAGTGTATGTACTGCCTTTAGAAGTAGTGAGTTTCAGATCATGGAAGTCTTCACAAGGAGGCTGGGTTGTCACTTGTTATTGATGTTACATAAAGAATTCATACTTAGGTGTTGATAGGATTAGTTGTCCTTGAAGGGCCTTTCTACCTTTGATAGCTTATAGAATGTCCATATTATTCTAACAAGGTTTGCCGCAACTTTGCTTCTTCAGTCCCTCTTCTACAAGTGAATGGTTTGTCATGTAAAACCTATGTTGTGGGTTGAAATGTGTAGCATGGCATTTTAGAGGTTCCACTCCAGAAACTGAATCTTATTTGTTTACATTTTAGTGAGCAGGATGACATTGTCCAAAAAAACCCCAAAACAAAACAAACCAAAACAGCAAAAAAACCCCCCACAAAAACGATAGAGCCATATGAGGTTTTACTCCAGCAGTGTGTATTAGCCTCTAGTGAATATCCATCTTATAATAAAGTATATTACAATATTCCAGTGCTTTCCTTAGAGATTATCTGAATCTACATTCTCTCACATAAGCCAGAAAGTTTTAGATTTAACTATTAGCATCAAGCATGATACATGAGTGGACTTGTTAATCTTTTGTGAATACTGACAAAAAGCCTGAAAATGTCTAAAATAATTCTGAGTCCGTAACAAAGCATATTTAATACTCTGAACTAAGACGATCTATGTAAAGAGCTTTGTAAACCTTAAAGTGCTATATAAATTATCCTCATAATACTAACTGGATTTTGAACATGGTAGTAAATTATGTATATTTATCTGCCATTGTAGATGTAATTTGACTAAATATGATAATTTATTATTGTTTATTAATAGATCTTTTATTATCTATTAATATTTATAATCTATTAGTTATTATTAAACTTATCATTATCATAGCAAGTTTAAAATTTCCACATTATTTTAATTCCTTCAATTAACCAAGACAGAATTTTTGTCATCTCTTTTTGTGCAGTCTAAAATCGATCAAGATAAACCTTTCATACTTGAGGAACATATGGATGTTATTAACAGGTATTTTTTTTTCAGATTTTCAGTGCTTTTATTTTCCATGTAGTCATTTATCTATTGTCTTATTTATTTGTAGCCTCTATTTATAACATTTATTTGTTTGTTTAGAGCATAAAGTTTTTTTATTAATTTTTTTTCAGTTCCAAATTCCTCTTCCCCTACCCATTGAGAAGGCAAGAAAAACAAGACTTATTACAAATATATATATATATATATATATATAAAATCATGCAAAACAAATTTCTATGCTAGCTCTGTCCCTTGCCCTACCCCCAAAAAAGCAAGTAAAAGGAAGAAAAAAATTATGCTTCAGTATGTATACCGAGTCCATTAGTTCTCTTTCTAAAGATAGATAGGGCGTTTACAAGTCTTTTGGAATTGTAGTAGATCATTGTTTTGATCAGAGTACTAAGTCTTTCACAGTCGATTATCTTTACAATATATTTGTTACTGTGTAGATTGTTTTTCTGAAACTCTCCTCTTTTATCAGTATTAACAGTTATTTAGCAGCAATTTCTGTGTATCTGTTCCTACGAAAAGAATATTTTAATTTGAATTTGCTAACAGTGCAATAATAGGAAGTTTAAAAGCTGCATAGTAACTATATAATGCATATAATTCTAATTTAGATAACACTTTGCTTTTATTTTCATTCATCTTTGAAAGTAGTTATTCAGTTTCTCCAAGGCTGTAAGAGTGATTGGGATAGAGAAGCAGGAATACTAGTCATCATATTTTAGGACAAGGTACCTTGACAGGGCAGAAAGAATGACAGACTGACCAAAAGGAAAATCTCTGTGAACTAATAAATTTTTTTTTTTGCTTTTGGGTGAGGTAATTGGGGTTAAATGACTTGCCCAGGGTCACACAGCTAGTGTCAAGTGTCTGAGGTCAAATTTGAACTCAGGTCCTCCTGACTCCAAGGCAAGAGCTCTACACACTGCACCACCTAGCTGCCCCAAATAAATTCTTCAGAGTCATTTGTTCAAGGTACTAAGTAAAAATATTTCATATAGTTAAATCATAAAAAAAACAAATAGGACAGAGAAAAAAGCTAAATAGTAGTAGAGTATGTTAAGCATCTGGAGACTTTTGAAAAGTGTTTATTTTTACATCTGAGAGTACTGGGACATCTATTAATTTTGACCAATGTGGTAAGAGATAGACAGCATGGTAGAGTGGATATAGACCTGGCATTGGAACTTGGAAGATTGAGTGAGGTTCATGCCCTGCCTCTGGCACAGGCTGGCTTTATAATTCTGAGCAAGTTATTTAATCTCAATGTGCACCAGGCATCCCTCTAAGGCTATTGATCTACTTTGGTAGAGGGAATTTCCTGGAAGGAGGAGAGCATCTTTATTAGTGAAATCAGAAGTCTAGGCACCCCCTCCCCCCAAGCAACAACAAAACAACTCAGAAATAATCATAGTAAATAAAATGAAAGAATATAATAAAGCAAAGGAATATTTAGGCTTAATTTCCCATTAGTGAATAGTTTCCCAGAGGATCTAGTCTATTTCTTGTTATATACTGTAGAGAGGGGGAAAAAATCCTGCATTCCCCAGTTCCAAATTCAAATTCTCTGATAGTTCAGAAGTGGAAAATAGGTCACCAGTTGGCGATACAGTAAATTTTTCTTTCTATAGATGTTTTTCAGCAAGCACTATGGAACAAATTATTCAGAATTTACAAGAAGATGGTTCACCTTTTGCACTAGAGCAATTGAAGGTAATGTACACATATCACCAATATAATATTATTGTGGTAAGACGTATAATTATGACATTGAAAGCCTCTGAACTGTACTCTGTTATCATCATTTTACTTTCCTTTGTGGATCCTGAGTGAGACTGCCTCTGACATCACCTCTGCAAAACTCTTGGGAACCCAGATTCCTCACTTTATTGCTGGATAATGAAGACAAATTCAAGTAGATAGGAGATCTAGAAGAGGAGGACTCACCTTTGCTATTTTCCATCTTGTGGGGACAGATATGAACTAGGAAAGGAATTATTAAGGAGGAAAGGAATTATTAAGGAGAAAATGATTAATATGTGTGTTGAGGCTTAGAGTTGGGAGAGCTGGTTCAGGTGTGAAAGAATTCACTTAGACCTCTGTAGCCATTGGGAGCTTTATTTCGTGAACGGGTCTGAGGTTAGCAAGGAGCTTAAACAAAGGGCGACGATATAGGAAAAGACCCAGGGTTATGTAGACAGAAAGCTATACAGCCTGTAGGAAGATGATGTATTTTTAAAGTTTCATATGGCAGTTGGAGACTAGGGACAGGATAAGAACAAACAAGGTGAGGAAGATGGTTGTCAAGATAAGGAAAAATTGTGGTGACACAGGATGAGGAAGATAAATGACAGGATAAGGAACACAGGATAAGGGAAACAAAGGCAATTCTTTTGGTATAGGAATGGGCTACAGAATAAGCCTCAAACCCCCTCAGCGGCCTGGGAAAATAACTCTTAATATCATTTGTAATCCTAGGGCACTCTTTGCCCCCACATCATGTGGCAGTTGTAGCATTTAGCTGTAGAGTCTATTGCTATGGAACAGACTAATAGAAGCCCCTTAACCAAGGATAAAGGTAGGTTTGATAGTGAAGTTTAACCAGTAAAAATAAGCAAAACAGACCAGACTTAAGCAAATTTCAGTATAGAAATTGTCATCAATATTTTTGCAAAAAAAATTTGTTATGTGGTAAATGATTACAGTACTTGCTTTTAATGACAGTGACGGACTTTGTATATAATAACTTTTTTTAATAATAACTTTTTGTAAAGAATAATGACCTTAAATGTAAAGAATAATAACCTTGAAATATGCTTGTGCTAGAGCAAGCACGTTCATTTTTGAAGTATATTTTAGTCTCATACTTTGAATTGTCATGATAAATTGTTGATACTGATTTATTTTGTGGCTAATTACTTTGTAGGTTCAATTTGTACTTCACTTTTCTGTGACTGATTTTATTATTTTATCTGAGTAGCAAGAGATTCCATCTGTAGCCTAGCTATCTTGGACAAATACTTGTACATGTGTTAATGTTTAGGTACACTCTGATCCTTCCTTTTAGTATAATCCTCAATTAATGATGGCTTTACAACCTATTTAAGTGAAAGAAAAACCGCTTTTATGTAATTGACCACATAATTGTACTTATCCTACTCAAACCTGCCCAAAGTATGATGGAATGTCACAGTATTTTTGGCACTTCAGCAGAAGAGAGTGGGAATATCCTTCCCTGTACTATAGATAAAAATACTTGAATTTGAATTTATTTTTTTCATTTTTGTAGCCATAAAATATACCAATATTTTAGCTGCCCAGAATTTTTGTATACAGGTACAAAAACCACCTGTGAAAATGCAAAAAAATTCATTGTTGCTTCTACGTTTTTGAGAGGGAAGCCTCAAGTTAAAACTGTTGCTCTAAATGAGGATGATTATTTTTAGTTAAATCTGCCTCTTAGTCATTCTGTAAGACTAAGATTTGTTGAGTGCCTCCTCTCTTTCCAGAGTACTGTACTAGATAATGTAATTATTGCTTATCCAGAAACAGTGAAAATGTAAGCAATACAACTAGCAATTTCATTTAAAAACAATTAAGCCTGATAGAACATATGAAATCACTTAAAAATAGAACAGATAATAATGTTTTTAATCAGGCTTTAAGCTTTATAAAGTGTTTTCCTCAAAATATAACCCCTTCAGAAAGATAGCATAGATGTTGTTATCCCCATTTTGCAGATGAAGAAACTAAGGTTTAGAGAAGTTAAATAGCTTATCAAAGTTCACTCAGGTCTGCAATAAATAGCAGGCCTGAGATTTGAAACCAAGTAATCTGTCTCTAATCTTTAAACCTCACTACATTTGATTAAGCAGAACTGGTTAACCTTAAAGTGTGGAGAAAAAATTGGACAGCCTTTTTAGTGCTTTGGTATCCTTCATTAAGAGAAACAAAGTCCTTAGAAAGCTAGCAGACATTCACAGCAGGGAAGCAGCATGGTGCAGTTGGAAAGAGTGTTGGATTTGGAATCAGATGATTTTAGTTCATATCCAATTCTGCCACCCATGTGTCCTTGAACAAATCACATAACCTCTCTAGGCCTCGTTTTTTTATTTGTAAAATAAGGGAGCTGGACTAGATGAGCTGTAAAACACCTTCCACCTCTGAATCTATGAACCTATTCCTGATGGGCTTTTATTCGCCTGCTCTCAAAATACAATGAGTAAAAGCTAGCCCCTGATACAAGAAAGGCATAAGATTTTTCATCTTAAATAATGGTAGGAACTGCCTAGTGCAGAGGTGAAATAAATTCGTAGTAAATCCTGCTGACTTGTGCTATATCCTAGCCTTTAGAGTCAGAGTTCCTTCCTTCAGGCATGCTAAACAGAGGCACAGAAAAAGCTCTTTAGACAAAAAATAGTTCCTTGAGTAAAAGACAATCAATCCACATCTCTGAACAGGTATTATACAAGAGTCCAGGTGATGATAATACTTTTCCTTGTCAGTTTAAGATTTAGGGATTTAATTGATCTTAAAAGTCTCTCTCTTTTTTGGGGGGGGCAGGGGAGAGGTCCCCGAGTAATCAAAGAATTTCATATATCAAATAGAATAGAAGCTGAACTCCTTGAGGTTAGAGACCATTTTATTTTTGTTTTTATATTCCTCATACCTAGCACAGTGCTTGGCACATCATAGGTGCTCAATAAATCCTTGTGGAATAAATGAATGTAAATACATAAAAAGAAATCTCCTTTGTATTTCCAGCTTTTGGTCATGCAGCTTCCATGTGACTATCTCTATTGAGGGGGATTTTAATTCTGTTTCTGCATTGATTCAATTGTTAAGAATTTTCTTGTCTTGAACTAAAATCTGCAACTTTGCAACTTCTACCCATTTCTCCTGGTTATATTCTTTTGGGTTAATCAGAATAAGTCTAATCCCTCTTCCATATGGTAGTTCAGACATTCAGGGACTGCGTTTACATCCCTTTTCCAGGTTAAACATTCCCAGCTCTCTCAGCCAATTCTTTTATGGTATGATCTTGAGCCCCCTCACCATACTAGCCACCCCCCTGGAGATGTTCTATCATTTCATTGATTGTTGTTGTTCAGGTGTGTCTGATTTTTTATGACCATATGGGCAACAGTATGCTAGGCCCTTCTGTCTTCCACTGTCTTCCATATTTTGTCCAAGTTCGTGTTCATTGTTTCCATGGCACTATCTATCCATCTCATCCTCTGCCCTACCCGTCTCCCTTTGCCTTCAATCTTTCCCAGTATCAGGTTCTTTTCCAATGAGTCATGTCTTCTCATTATATGGCCAGAGCAATTAAGCTTCAACTCTAGTATTTGACCTTCTAGTGAGTAGCCTGAATGAATTTCTTTTAAGTATTGACTGATTTAATCTCCTTGATGTCCAAAGGATTCTCAAAAGTCTTTTCCAGCACCACAATTCAAAAGCATCACTTCTGTGGTGTTCAGCTTTCATTATAGTCCAACTCTCACAGCCATACATTATTATTGGAAAAACCATACCTTTGACTATATGGATCTTTGTCAGTAAAGTGATGTTTCTGTTTTTTAGTATGCTGTCCAGATTTGCTATAGCTTTTCTTCCAAGAAGCAAAGGTTGTTTTTTTCTTTTATTTTTTAAAAACTTTTCTCACTTAATAGTATTTTATTTTTTCCAGTTATATGTAAAGATAGGTGGTTTTTTTTTTTGTTTTTTGTTTTTTTAGGCAATTGGGGTTAAGTGACTTGCCCAGGGTCACACAGCTAGTAAGTGTCAAGTGTTTTGGTCTGAGGCCAAATTTGAACTCAGGTGCTCCTGAATTCAGGGCCAGTGCTCTATCCACTGTGCCACCTAGCTGCCCCAGTAGCTTTCAGTATTAACTTTTATAAGATTTTGAGTTCCAAATTTTTTTCTCCCTCCTTCCCCTCCCCCCTCAAGACACATATACACTCATATTATAAACATATTTCCACATTAATGATGTTGTGAAAGAAGATTCAGAGCAAAAGGGAAAAACCACAAGAAAGAAAAAACAAAAAAAAAAGAAGAAAACAGTATGCTTTGATCTGCATTCAGACTCCATAATTATTTCTCTGGATGTAAATAGCATTTTCCATCGTAAGTCCATTGGAACTGTCTCTTAGATAACCGCATTGCCGAGAAGAGCTAAGTCTATCAAAGTTAGTCATTGCCCAATGTTGCTATTACTGTGTACAATGTTCTCCCAGCTTTGCTCACCTCACTCAGCATCAGCTCATGTAAGTGTTTCCAGGTCCCTCTGAAATCGGCCTGCTCATCATTTCTTATAGAACAACAATATTCCATTACATCCATATACCATAATTTGTTCAGCCATTCCCCAGCCAATGGGCATCCCCTCAATTTCCAACTCTGCCACCACAAAAAGAGCTGCCATAAATACCCTTGTACACATGGGTCCTTTTCCCTTTTTTATGAAGTAGTGGTACTTCCGGATGAAAGGGCATGCACAGTTCTACAGCTCCTTGGGCATAGTTCCAAATGAAGCAAGTGTCTTTTAATTTCATGACTGCAGTTGCCATCTGCAGTGATATTTGAGCCCAAGAATATAAAACCTGACACTGCTTCCATTTCTTCTCTCTCTGCCAGGAAGTAAGAGGACCAGTTGCCTAGTTGTTTTTGGTCTCTGGGTTCCTCCACCTTTTTGAAAATCAACCTGTTCTTCTGGTAATTCTCAGTTCACATATTGCTGAAGCCTGGCTTGCAGAATCTTAAGCATAATATTGCTCATGTGTGAAATAAGTGCAGTTGTTCAGTAGTTTGAACATTCTTTGCTATTACCCTTTTTTAGGATTGGGACATAAACTGATCTTTTCTAATCTAGTGGCCACTAGTTTTCCAAATTTGCTGGCATATTGAATGCAGTACTTTAACAGCATCATCTTTTAGGATTTTAAATAGCTCATTTGGAATTCTGTCACTTCCTCTGGCCTTATTGTTAGCAGTACTGCTAAGGCCCACTTAATTCCATTCTCCAAGAGTTCTGGCTCTAGATTGTGAACGCACCATCATGGCTATCAGTGATACTAAAATCTTTCTTGTATAGTTCTTCTTTGTATTCTTGCCATCTTTTCTTAATCTCTTCTATTTCTGTTAAGTCCCTACCATTTTTGTCTTTTATCCTGCCTATTTTTGCATGAAATGTTCCCTTGATATCTCTAATTTTCTTGAAGAGATCTCATCTTTTCCATTCCATTTTTTTCTTCAATTTCCTTGCATTGCTCATTTAAGAAGACTTTCTTTTCTCTCCTCCCTATTGTCTAGAATTTTTCATTCACTTGGGTATATTTTTCCCTTTCTCCTTTCCCTTTTGCTTTCCTTCTTTCCTAAGCTATTTGGAAAGCTTTATCAGACAGCCATTTTGCTTTCTTGCTCTTTTTCTTTGGATTTTTGTTGTTGTTGTTGTTACTGCTTCCTGCTCAATATTTCGAATCTTATAGTTTTTCAGGTACTCTATCTACCAGATCTAATATCTTAAATCTGTTCATCACTTTATATTCATAAAGGATGTTATTTAGGTCATACCTATATGTTCTGATGGCTTTCCCTACTTTGTTCGATGTAAGTCTGAATTTTGCAACAAGAAGAAGCTCTTGACCTGAGCCATAACTGACTGTATAGAGCTTCTCCATCTTTGGCTGCAAAGCATATAATAAATCTGATTTCATTATTGACCATCTGGTGATGTCCATGTGTAGAGTCACCTTTTGTATTATTGGAAACGCAAAATTGTTGAAAAAGAGTGTTTGCTATGACTAGCAAGTTATTTTGACAAAGTGCTATTAGTCTCTGCCCTGCTTCATTTTATACCCAAGGCCAAACTTGCCTGTTATTACAATTATCTTTTGATTTCCTTACCTTCCTTCTAAAATGTGACTTCCAGTAATACAGAGTATAGCCAGATTGTTAGAACTGAGTACTATGTTTCTCCATGCAGTTTAGGATAACATTTTGGGGGGGTTCTTTGACACTGCTGTCTCATTTTGAGTTGACTGCAATAACACCCCTAGATGTTTTTTGTATAATCTGTTGTCTAGCCAGGCCTCTCCTATCTTGCACTTGTTAAATTTATTTTTCTAGCTCCAGCGTAGCTCCACTTTACATTTGTTCCTATTGGGTTTCATCTTATATAGATTTGGGCAATTGTTTTACTCTATTTTATATCTTTTTTTGGATCCTGATCCATTATTAGCTATTGCTCCCAACATTATGTCATCAGCAAATTTGGTGAGCATGCCATTTATGCCTTCACCCAAGTCATCAATAAAAGGGTTAAAAAGCACAGGGGCAAGGACAGGTTGTTGGGGTACTCTAGGAAGGTTGCTAGGCCTTCCTACATTCTACACCACTCTTTGGCTCTCAGATTCAACCAGTTATGAATCTTTCTACTTACACTATCATCTAGTCTACATTCTCCATCTTGTCCACAATGACAGCAGGAGAGAAAATGTTAAATGCTTTGATGCATTCTAGGTTTACTATGTCTATAGAATTCTTCTGATCTTGATGCTCTGTATAAAAAGGAAATGAGGTTAGTTTGGCATGACTCATTCTTGATGAACTAATTCTGGCACTTAGTTATCATTATTTCCCTTCCTAATGTCCATGAACAACCTCTTTAATAACACAATCCAGAATCTTTCCAGGAATAAAAGTCAAACTCATTGGTCTGTAGTCTACAAGTCCCCTCTTCCCTGTATGGAAAATGAAGCCATTTGCTTTTCTATAATACTGCAACACAATTCCTCTTCTCTCCAGGCTTTTAGAGATCACTAAAGGTGTTTCACCATTCACATTTAGTTGTTCTTTTAGTATCTTAGGATGTAGCTCATCTGTGCTTACTTATATAAACTCATTGAAGGCAGCTAAGTGCAGAGCTGTAGCCAGGGCCTGCTGGGAATGTGCCTCAAGAGTGCTGACTTCCATGGGGTATGTATGCTGACTCCTCAGGACCATTTGCATCCTCACTGTAGCAGTCCAGAGATCACTCTCCCTGTACTGCACAGTGTGAGACTATTCCCTTATTTGGCCTCTCCCTTATGGTCCCATCACTGTGATATTCTCCTTACATTTAATCTGCTTCCCCCAATCCTCCTCCCCTCCCAAAAAAAGAAAAGAATAGAAAAGAAAACACTTCAGAAGGTGCAAGTGGGTCTCTCTGAGGGAGACGAAGTACTTATTCTTCCAGAACAAGGCACATCTGGTTGAGCAGTCCTCTGTGCCATTATAATGCCTCTTCCCTTTCATGGGACTATGTCCTCTTCCTGCCATAGTTCTTCGTTTTGCTATTGTGCCCTCCAACTATCCTCTGTATCACTTTTGGCCCTGCCCCAGGTGAAATAATTTCAGTTATGCAAGAGGTCTTTATTAATGCCTTATTTGTCTTAGATTTTAATTCCTTATTCACTCTTTATGTCCTATCTTAGTCCAAAGTTCATTTTCCTTGGGAGAGAAAGTAGAGGCAAAGTGATAATTGAGTAGCCCTATCTTTTTTCTGTTGTCTATTATTAGTGTTCCACCCATACCATGTAGTGATCCTGTTCTTTTGTTGAGTTTTCTCTTGCCTCCAAAATAGCTAAAAGATTACTTCTGTTGTCCGTAGTATTTATTGCTACAATCTCAGTTCTACCTTAGCTTTTTGGGGCTCCTGACAAGACTGTTACTCTGTTCTTCTTCTGTTAGCTGTCATTGCTCCTATCTTCCAAATGTGCCTTCTAAAAATCTGAGTTCATTTTATATCCACCTTGATCCTCTTAGACATCTTACCATTTTTATTTTGTCAGAAGTTAATTATTTATTTATTTTAAAGAGAATTTCAGTCCTGATAGATTCCCATCCTTCATGATTTAACTTCCCCCTTTGGCTCCTACCTTTCCTTTCTCTGAAGCTTCAAAATCTGTTCTCTCAAAATATAGATTGTCAGATTATGTTTTGCTCTCCTCTGTCTCTGTTATGAATTCTAAGATGGAGTGGCCACTTGTCCCCAGTGTTTTTGTCATTTCAGCTTCAGCAGTCAGCTCCTTCTTGTTGGTAAGATTCATGTCCAGAATAGCATTTGCCCTCTTTGCTTCATTTACCTCTTTGAAAGATAAATTGTGATCAGTACAATTCAAAGATAATCTGCTTATTCTGCTTTTGGCAGAAAAGGGAGCTCCAGCAAGATGTCTGTGTGGTCAAAATCACTCCAATATCAATTTTATTATGTCATCTCTCTGTGTCAGGTGATCCATTTCCCAAATCTCTTAGCTATTTCCTCCTGTCCAGTTGCCCTATAATATATTCCCCCACCATTTTAGTGTTTTTTTCCACCCTCAATTTATCTTCACTTAAATGGTTTCTACTATGCTTCTCCCTGAAGGGGCTCTACCTTTCTTCTTTTTCTTAAAAAAATTATTGATATCTTTTGTCTTTATATCATCTACTTTTCCTTTAAAAAAAACCAGTTCAACAAAACTAACCAACATATTGAAAAAGTCTGACATCTTTATGTTCCATGACCATATTCCTTACTTCTGCAAAGAATCTGGGTTTTTAAAATATATAATACCATACTATAGCCACCTTTAGCCTTTCTTTTCCTTTTGAATAAAGCATACTTTTTCATAGTCTTATTCTAGTTAAGCATTCCATCCCACCAACTCTCACCAAGTCTTAGACCTATGAGATCGATTTTCTGCCTTGATAGGGGTGGGGACCCTACAATAAGGACCTAGGTGGATTCTGCAAAGGGCTTTGTATTTAAGCAAAGTATTTTTTAAATGAAGACTATTTTTGTTATATCTAGTGAGAAAAATAGACTTTTTGTATAATCTCTGAAAGGGTAAAAGCAAAATTTTATATTTCCATAAAGCAGTATTTTTCAATAGATGGGTTTTAGTTTTTTCCCTGTGAGTCTTTTACTTACACTAGTTGTCAGTCTGAACATTTGTATTACAGAATTATGTGTTTATATGTGTGTATACATATATAGTTATGTTGCAGATCTTTATGTAATTATAGCTGTTCATATACATGTGTATATGTGTATGCAATGTGTAAGACTGATTATTTTTATTTAATACTTTGTGACTATCCTGAATTCATACAAAACCATACTTCTTAATTATAGTTTGTTGAATCTGATGAAAAAAACTTTGTGAACTGACAGACTGTTACAGTGACTTATGATACCTGAACTAAATTTAAACCTGTGGTTCTTTGTAGTAACAATTAGAATCCCAACTTCACAATTTTTCCTGCAGGACCTTTCAGAATTCATCAAAAATTAAATTGTCTGTATGTATGCATGCATATACAGAGGTATATTCTAAACAAAAAGAAAACAAGAAGAACATCATCATGGAGGAAGATAGGCACATTATTACTTCATTAAGCATTTATAAATTGGGAAAAGTTCAAGTCATGACTAATTTTTAGGTTGTTTTTTTTTGCAAATCAGTTTGTTAATTTAATGAAGATTTAATGGTCTTCAGAAGGTTTTCATGAACTGACCAGATATGAAGTACTAATCCTGAGCAGTTCTAGTTTAGTAATTTTAACAATTTTCGTAGGTTCCCCTAAAACAGGTATGATGAGCCTCCAGCCTGTCGAATAGTTCTCTCTTTACTTCCCTGACTCACAAGGATACAACATTGCTATAAAAGGCTTTGGTAAAGATATTAGAATAGATTTGTAAGTCTTTGGTAAAGACTTACAGGAAGGTGGTGGAATGAGAGGCCAGGGAAGAACTTAGCTCCTCAATTATGCCTCTTTCTTCATGGATAGATTAAAATGACCTGAAATATAAAGAAAATTTTTTTAAAAGTTAAATAACTGAAGAGCCATAAGCTAATTAGTCAAGTACCATATTTTTTTTTGGTAAAATTTTCTTCAAATAGTGAAAATCTACTTTTTTCACTCCAATCTCCCTCCCCTCCCAAATTGAAAAATAAAGGAAAACAGTACCCTTGTAACAAATGTGTAATCAAGCAAAATAAATTCTCACTTTAGCATCGTCTAAAAAAAAATGTCAGTATGTGCTCTGAGTCCATCACTTCTCTGTCTATAGAGAAAATCACATTAGAAAATTCTACAGTAAGAATAACATATAGATAAAGAAAGGACAAAAAAACCCAAGCAAGCAGAGGGAAAATCACTCTAATATGATGAACAAATGTTATATTATTAAAAGATCACTAAGAGAATTTACCACCAGCATGGTAATTTTGATCAGCAACTAAAGTTTCACAAATGGACTTTGTATAATGGTTGGATGCAAGAAAAGTTCAGTGAATGTCACCGAGACTGTGTTAAAAAAAAAACTGGGACCTCAGCTCTTGTAGCTTGTATGTAACATATTGTCTTCTACCCATTTAGTCTTTTTATGGATACAGTCATTCTTTATATAGTTGAACTTGAGAATGCAACTTAGACCTGCAATCTCTAATTAGAATTTTCTATTTCTGGACTTAGTGGGAAGTTAAAAATCATCACCAAAAGTTTTTATGGTAGTCATTCATTAACAGGCTATGCAGAGTTTCTCTCTCTCTCACATTATGTGTGTGTGTATATATGTGTGTGTGTGTGTGTGTGTGTATATATATACACACACACACACACACACACGCACATACCCATACATACACATATATATGTATATGTATATATGTATGTATATATATCAGCTGCAAATCAAAGGTTAATCTTAACATATATTAAGTTTGTTAGAACTCCCAGTTAGTCTTTTTATAATAACAATACTAATAATAACAGACACTTATGTAGCACTTTAAAGTTTACAAAACTCTTTGTAAACATGTATTACCTCACTTGAGCCTCACTTGACCACGTGAAGTAGGAACAGTTATTATCTCCATTATCCAAATGAGAAAACTGAGATTGTGAGGCCACACAGTTAGTCATGGCTACATACATGGCTACACACACATCAACAGCCTGTCCTACAAACGTGAAAGGAAATGGAAGTATTACAATTATGTCATCATGTCTGTAATTTTTATTGTGTTGAATATTTGAAGATATAGCTAGCACTTATACAGCGCTTTAAGGTTTGTAAAACACTTTTCATTTGTTATTTTATTCTCAAAACAACTGTGTGAGGTAGTTGCTATTATTATCTCCATTGTACAGATGAGGAAACTGAGGTAGAGAGCAATTAAATGACTTACCTAGGGTCATGAAACTAAAAAGTATCTTAAATAGAATTCGAACTCAGGTCTTTGTAACTCCACGTCTAGCACCATCCATGAAACCATTTTGCTGCAAATAAAGGATATGTGCAGATAAAGATTATGTTGATTTAATAGAGGTGGTAAAGACACTATAAATATGTACTTAACCCTTTGTCTCAACAGATAATTAAAAAAATGTCTCCATCCTCCTTAAAGATCACATTAAGACAGATGATGGAGGGGTCTTCAAAGAGCTTACCAGAAGTGTTAATTATGGAATATAGGCTGAGTCAAGCATGCTTGGTAAGAATTTCTTAGTGCCTGGGAATTTGAAAGTACAACATGGTCAACAGTCAGTAGACGTTTATTAAACACCTACTGTGTGCTCACCCATAAGAGTAACTGGTTTTGATTACAGGGAGAAACTGCTCTTAGTGATACCATTCATGATTTTATATCAAACAGTTACGTCTATGCAATAGTAAATCTATGTTATCTGGGAACAAAGGATTAACAGCATTGTTTTTATTATTACAAATACTATTCTGAGTATATTTTAAAAGCAGACAGCATAATCCTACATGCTATGTTTTGTTGGCCTGTGTATTTTTTTTAAAAGAAGGCCCACATTTGCATATTTAAGTATCTCGTTGTCATATGCCTCCCGCCAGCAGGATCTCTCTGTTTCTGTGTTGTGCATAGTGCCTGTTGAATGACCATTTTGCTGTAAGAGGAATGAATCAGTCATTTTTGTGATTATCATCAAAAAGAAATATACTGTTTAATGTACAACCTTGTCCCATCCCCCAAAACAAACAAACAAAATAACCCCTGGGGGATTAAGAGTTTAATTGACAATAAAAAGTAACCAATTTGTTTTCTTCTTCTCTGTCAACAATTTAGTTCAGTTCCTGGGTAAAGAGGGTACTATTGTCTTTCATTTAATCAGAAACAAAATTATATTAATTGTGTCTTGAAAATTTTGTGTGTTTCAAAATGTGCGTGATATTACCTAAGTTCATCTCTGTTTCTTTAACTTTCAGAGAGGCTTTGACTTTTACGAAGGTGTTCGAGCAAGTAAGGAAACAATTATTTTTCTTGCTTGATGACTATATATGACTAAGATTAGGGTTAGGCTGGTACCGCATGCTTTGGTCAGAGATGCGATAGTTTGTCAGTGACAAGTTTATCTTTTCTCAGGCTAGCAAAGTACTTCATCAGTACTACCCATAACATTGCTTAAGAGAGGACTCTTCTTCCGATATTGATGGTGTTTGAAAAATATAGCTCACCTTGTAACTACTGTGCTTGATGTTAAGAAAGCTCAACTTGCTCATAGGGCCTAGTGCCCTGCTCTCTGTTAGGTGCAGTATGAGCTCGTTAGATTTAAACAGTTCACTGCTGTCCACCATCCTAGATGCTGTGGAAGGTGATTATGTAGGTGTGTGGGCACAGGCTTAAAGGTGGAATCTTTATTTTTTCTTTTATATACCGTCCCAGAATAGAGCTGTCAGCCAGTTGCTGATCACTCCTTTTATGTCTTCATCACTGTTAATGGACATTCCAATAGAGGATGTCACCACAGGTCACTAACATGACTCAGTCCTGAAGCTTTGAGGCACAACCCTCCTACTCCATTGTCTCCTTCCCACCCTATCCTTTACTATCCATGACTGCACTGTCTTCCTTCTTCCTAGTGATTTCAAGGGTTTAGGGAAATAAAAAGTAATATTTTACTGCAAAAGAAAGATTAGGGATGCTGGCCTAGGAAGTGGGGAAGAGTTGACTTGCCAATCAATCCCCTGCTCAGTAAGTTTCAGTTCCTTCTTTCCTCTAGTCCAGGGGTTCTTAACATTTTTAGTGTCATGGACCACTTTGGCAGTCTGGCAAAGCTTATGGACCCCTTCTCGGAGTAATGTTTTTTTGAAAAATCAAAATGGAAGGAAATAACTAAATTTTAGTTAGAAGATAATGAAAGCAATGGACAGCTAAGTGGCACAGTGGATAGAGTGCTAGGCCTGTAGTCAGGAAGATTCATCGTTCTGAGTTCAACTCTGTCTTCAGACACTTATTAGCAATAGGACCCTGGGTAAGACACTGAACTCTATTTGCCTTAGTTCTTCACCTATAAAATGAGCTGGAGAAGGAAATGACAAACCATTCTAGTATCTTTGCCAAGAAAACCCCAAGTAGGGCCATGAAAAGTCAGACATGACTGATAAGACTGAACGATGAACAACAACAATGAAAGTAAAAATGTGATTTTTTAATTTTTTTGCTTATCCAAGTTCTTGGGTCTCCAAGGACACCAGGGATCCTGCTCTAGGATAAGATACAGACTACTTTGTTTGGCCTTTAACAGCCCACACAGTCTGACTGTGGCCTGCTGTTTTAGTCTTATTTCATATGCACTGTGTTCCAGCCAAACTGGCTTACCTGTTGTTGTCGTACATGACCTTATGTTCTCATCTTTATGTGTTTGTATGTGCTGATTGCACTCCCTCCCCACCTTTACCTCTTAGAATCCTCTACTTCCTTCAAAACTCAGCTTAAGTACCATCTCCCGTAGGAAACATGTCTTGATGCCCCCAAGTTGCTACTGCTCTCGCCACTAGAAATTACATTATATATTTTCTGTTTGATTTTCTGTGTACATATTTGCCCCTAAGAGAAGATAAGCACCGTGAAGAAAGGAGTATTTTATTTTTGTCTTTATATCTCTAGGGCCTGGTACGTAATTGGTGGTTAATAAATGCTTACATTAACTGAGTGAATAAAAGAGGAAAGAATCATAAAGACGGGAAAATTATTGTATTAAAAGTCAGAGGGGGCAAAAAAGACAAAATGGAAATGAAAAGAGGAAAAGGATTAGAAGTAGAGAAAACATGGAATAGTGAAGGGATGAGTAGGAGGAAGAAAGCAGGAGCTAGAACATGAACAGATGAAGGGAGAAGCAGGAAGGGAAGGAAGAGAAGAGTGCTATTCATTCTTTCCAGAAAAGGAAAGAGATGGGAGTGGGAGTGGGGTCTGTGTGGTGAGATTGGGTATATTTTGAGACCACCTTTATAGGCGTTGAAATTATGTTGAATCTTCCCTAGATTATTAAAATTCATTATTGCATATTAAATATTAAATAATGCATATTAAAATACATTATTAAAGTGCAGGGCAATACCTGTACTCTATATTATTTTTATTTCTAGCTTCCATCGAAAAGAGGAAATTTAGATACAACAGAAACTTTAGATACCTTTTAAACCTGAATAAATGAAACAAATGGCTTTGATAGTGCCTTTCTGTGTACTAACTCAGCCACCTTTTTTTATCCTAACAAATTATGTCATTTGCCAATATTTTAGAAAATGATAACCATTTTAGAAAACAGGGATATGTAATAACATATGTTTTCGAATTCCAATTATTTCATAAATAAACTCATTAATCAAGAACTTTATAACTCCTTAGATTCCAGTCCAGGCCTGGAAATATTTGTGTTGACCTGAAAAGAATTTAAAGCATCTAAGTTCCTAGAACACCAGGCTTTGGCATGTAAATGGTAAACAGTGATTCACTGCTGCTTCAGAGTTCTCTCAGATTTCTGGTGTAGAGCAGAAAGACAACGGCACTAAGTTAAATTGTAAGGCTAGATGAACAGATGTACTATAGCAGCTGTCCTTGTGAACCTCCCCCTCTCAAAAGTCTAGCTTCATTTATAATTCACTTCAGAGCATAAGCGAAAAATGCTCATTTCTTTTAAAAGAAAAAGGGAGAAAATATATCTACTCATATAGCAAATTGGTTAAAACAGAAAAGTAGTCTTATAGCTTTTCTTATCTTGAACATCTACAACATATATTGAAACCAAATAAAACCATCTTTCTTTATTCCTCTACTTTGATACTTTGAAAGAGCCATGATTTTTTATTGGTGTGGGGATTGTCTCTTTTGACTCAACCCCAGCTTCTCTACGTATTAGTAAAGTGTCCCTCATAAATTGTTATGGCCAAAAATTCTGCTAAATGGAGACCACAAGCAGATTGCCTTCAGTGAGCTAGGACAGGCCTCAGGTGACAAGCACATTTTTGTATGTGCGACCCATGGCACTCATGCTTCCAGGTCATAATCTTTGAAAACCCAGGGCTACGCCTCCAGGCTATGATTGGGTATTACAGTGAGACCTTTAAGGCAGAGCTAGAACGAGTCCTGGGCTACTGGGGCTTTGTTCCAGGGTGGGAAATTTAGAGGGTACAGAAATTTAGCATATGTTCTTCTTCAGTAGAGTAGACTTGAATGTGTAGAGGCCTCAAACTCCAATGCTGGCTGAGCCCTGGTGAGTTTTAGTATCATAAGGCAGCAGACTGGAGCCTTTTTACCTTCTCTCTTCTTCTTCTGTCCCATAAATCTCCAGTCTACCATGTTGCTTTGCTAGGGTTTCTCCTCCCTCTTTTTCCTCTCTCCTGTGCTTCCTCCAGAAGCGGAGCAGCAGCACTTCCCCCAAGTGAGTATAATCATCTTATCATTATTTCACTCTCACAAGGGAAGAGGCCTCACTGAATCTCTATTTGTCTCTTTGTTGGAGTAGAAAGACCATAGGACCCCATGTCCTATAGCTAAATTAGACTTTCTGAGGTCTCATAGCTCTGTGATTCTACTCCCTAAGTTACTATAGTAATTATTCCATCTCAGTCACTTCTTGTATCGTTTTCACCTTCTGAGTTACCGAGTCAGTTTGAGGACACCTATCATTCTACTCCATCAGTTTGGTGCCAGTTGCCCCAAGTGCTGAAATTGCTGGTTATGGCTGTGTTTACTCCTTTACTTCTTTTATAGAAGTTTGTCATGATTATGAGAGTCCATTTACTACCTCAGTTGTACTATGTGGAGCATTCTGACCCATTTGTATTCCACAGAAGCTCCTTCATTAATACAATTTTATAAAATAAAGGCACTATTCTGGCAATGCTGTCCAGAATAGCCCTCTTATCCCTGTTTGCAGAAAAAAATAAAAGCAGGTCATGTCAGAAGAACTGGTGAGCTAGCACATGTTTCATAATGGAATATGACCCGATAGGCATCTTATGGGATGCTGTCCAAAAGCTAAGTCAATAGGTGGGGAATTAATCACAGGGAATAGAGATGCAGCTATTTAAGCTAAAGAAAGGGGATAGCCAAAATCTGGTGGATTCTGCCCTTTTGGTTTTATACTTTGGAAAACATGAAAATAAATTTGTACTAGTTACTTTATTATAATATTTTGAAATTCAGAATAATCTTAGGAAAATAATGGGATTATCCAGCACTCTTACAGGGGAAGAAATGTTGAAGTAGAAAAGGAGATTTTCAGGATTGTCCTGTTTTACCTTTATTCCTCCTTTCTTTCTTTCCTTCCTTTCATTCCCTAGGAGGTAGCGGCCTTTGTGGGCTTCCTTACGTTTGGGGAGAGGGATATGTGTGTGCATGTGCACACATATGTATATATACATACACGTATGTAGTATATATACATACATATACACATCTTATATGTGTTTTTCTTATCATAAAGAAGAATCTCAAACTGTCCAACTGCAGCATGTCACTCCTAGGGGAACAGTTCTGAACTATGACATTTGCCTTTCAGTATTGTTAAAATTTCCTCACAGCATTAATGCTGGGCACATAGCTGCCTCTGATCCTCCTACTTCTCCTTTCAGAGATAACAAAGGGGCTGCCTCAGTCTATAATCCCTGGAGGGGATAGTGTGTAGCTATGCTGAGAGATGACGGCAGTGAAATAGGAGAAATGGTAGAGACAGAGAGAGAATTGAGAATGAGTTGCAGGGCCCACTTTTTAGGGAAGGAATTCATCCCATTTGATCATGCACAAGGCAGCCAGTATACGATTTCCTGATGACTCTTAGGATGGCAGTTGCTTTTCTGAAAGTGCAGAGTAGGAAGCTCAGTGTATTATATTTGAACATTCCTCTCCCTTCATGTTTTTATGAACTGGTGAAAGCTCAGGTTTCAGTATAGCCTGATACAGGCACAGCAGCTTTCAGCATCCAACAAGGAGCTAATCTAAAAGAAGCCCTTATTCTG